CCGCAGGCCAGTCCCCACAATGTCAAAAATTTCAGGATCTACTATCCTTGTGGGGACATTTGGTCCCCACAGTGTAGCATAAACAAGTACACACACACACGCACGCATATCCAAAGATTAAAAGATTTTCCTCAATGAGGTTTGACCAATCCAAAATCCTATTTTTACTCTAATACGTTTTATAAAAATGAAAAAGAATGTGCAAATGTGAAAGAACGACAGAAAGTCAGTCAGTCACTCCTTTGGCTGTATTTCAAAAGCCTGATTGCTAATCAAAGGCGAACTGTTGGACCTGAGCTTACCTGCAGCACAAGAAAAGCTTAATGCACATGATTACTGATGCCTTGCCTTTCCAGAGTCTCCCACAGAGAGGTGGCCTGATTGTCTAGAACAAGGCACAGAGTTGCTGAGACACAGCCTCTGGTTTGCTCTGAATCCAAAATATCAGGGAGGGAGCAGAAATGGCTCCCCTCTTTCATGTAGCCAGGCTGCTAGGTACTGTGGGTTGGACTGGTGGGCATGCTGTCAGTTATCCGTGTTCTCCCCCTGCTGTTTGCACATGGTATATAGTATTCCAAAAGAAAAGGCTTGGAAATAAGGAACGACTTGATGTTATATAACACGATTTTTTGTAACACAAGCATCAGTTGGTCTTTCCATAATTGATGTTAGAGAGGTGTTAAAGATAATTTGCCAGGATATGTACTGCAGAAAAAAATAAAAATGAAACAGAAACAGATTAACTGCCTATTCATAACGGTACGCCTCTATTCACAAAGCAGCAAGAGGTTGAGAGCATCGCGCCGCAGAGATATGGATGATTTTAAATTAACGGCGAGTTTTTGAAGGTGTGCTATGCGCATTGCTAAAAGTTAACATAAAATGTTAAATAAATAGCATGACCAAAGGCAGATAGTAGCATCTCTGAATGAGTGTGGCTGCGTTGGCAATTAACATTCGAAGAGAGTATGCGTCTTTGAGGCAGAGTGACCTTGGAGGCAGACAGAGAGGAGAGCCGCTGAGAGAGAGAAGATAACGAGGCAGACCAAAGACACGGAGCAGAGGTGAATTTCAACACCAACTCAGTATGAAGGCCAGCTGTGTACGAGGGGAACAGAACAGTGAAGATAAATTGGTGGAATTCTCCATTTGTCCTCCCACATTTTCTAAATATCAAGGTAATGAAAAGAGCCAGAGTCCAGCGTCATTGAACAGTCATTACAATTTTATTAACATTATATACAAAATACTGCAGTGGAACAAGTTGAGATAACGTAATTAGCCACACTTGACAGTCAGGCCGCTACCTAAGCAAGCCTGAGACGTCGCTGAACTGAAGGTAGTCCTGAAGCAGTGTGGGGACGGGCAGCTGTTTGATGAAGGACGTCTTAGACAGAGCACTGCTGCCCACCACCGCTGCCCGCACTGCCAGTCTGCACAGATGGGTGAGGACAGGGACTGATTCTGGAACCAAAGGCAAGAGGTTACTGAGCTGTGGCCATTTACCCCATCAGATGATACAGCTATGGAATACAGTAACACAATGAAGCTGTTTTAAAAAAATAAAAAAATAAAAATTTGTGACATAAACAATACTTTCATTCAGCAGGGATGCACTGAATTGATCAAAAGTGACAGTAAAGTTTTTACATTGTTACAAGAAATTCTGATTTCAAAGGCTGTTCGTTTTTAATCTTCTATTCATAAAGAATCCTGTAAAAAAGTATCATGGTTTCACAGGCATAAATGACAACAGTTCAATCACAATTTCTGACAATAAAAATTAATCCTTTGTGCGTGTGTGTCTGTGTATGTATGTATGTATGTATGTGTGTGTGTATATATATATATATATATATATATATATATATATACATACTCACATTTTCAATCAGCCATCTATTTTACATAGATTAAATAGTTAAAATAATCATGGAAGAATGATATTTTATACAATATAAAAATACATAACATTAAACTGCAACATTTACCAACAGATATTCGTAACAAAACATTTTAATACATAAACATTTTTGTTAAAATTTTGAGCGGGTTAATGGCTGAGTGGCTAATCTGTGGGATTTAAATTGCTTTGTTGAAACAAAAAATAAATCAAGCTTATCAACTATAATGCAGAAACACTTTAGGAAACTTAATGGACATAAAAAGAGTAGTAAAAATCATTCACTATGTTTCTTAAAGGGATAGTTCACCCAAAAATGAAAATGTTGTCATCATTTACTCCCCCTCATGTTGTTCTAAACCTGTAGGAGTTTCTTTCTTATGTTAAACACAGAAGAAGATATTTTGAAGAATGCTGGTAATCAAACAGTTGATGGTCCACATTGACTTAAATAGTATTTATTTCCCTACTATGGAAGTCAGTGGGAACCAACAACTGTTCGGCTCTTCAAAATTCTTCAAAATATCTTCAACATAAGAAAGAAACTTGAGGGTGAGTAAATGACAACATTTTCATTTTTGGATGAACCGTTCATTTAATTTCATATCACCAACAAAATAACTGTGAATATACTGTAAATATTTGATATATGCAACATTCTGTTGGCTACATAAAAAAAAAACGCCTAAACAATGTCATGAAACCCACACACATACATTAATATGATTTAAAGTGTACAGGTCATACCAAAATGCTTCCGTGGCGTCCAGGTGCCATCTGCTCGACGGTGAGAGAGAATCTGAAGCATTGAGGAGGGCAGAGTCTTCCAATTAATGAACTCCAGAAAGAAATTAAGCACTCTGTTCTCAGCTTCTTCAAGCCTGCACCCAATTAGAGCATAACAGGCAGAACTGAAGAGCTTAACACAGTGCTTTTTAACTCTGACGTTAATAAAGCACAATCATTTATTAAAAGGCACGCATGGTGAATCCACTCTTGATAAAAATAAAAAAAACCTGTGTGGCACAACAAACGCACAATGTGTTGCTTACATTTTGTCCTGGAGGAGCAGCATGGGGTCCATTCCTGCTTTGAGCAGCAGGGGGAGCCAGAAAGATGCACTCTGCATCTCACCAATGGCTCTATGGGCCAGTTCTTCGAGTCGGTCACCCCGAGGAAGGCCAGCGTGCTCTAAGATCAAGGGAAGGTGCTCTGGTACGTGGCCTTGTAATGCAAAAGCATAGATGCCCATTCTCACATGGGCCCCTGCTGCCAAGAGCATCAGAGTGATTTCACGAATCTGGTGACACTCGCTGTTCAAACTGAGAGACAAACAGGACAAAATGCGTCATACTGTCCAACTGATTGTGTTTAAAATAAAAAGCGGGACACAAGTGTACATCTATGTCATACTTCCAAGAGTTGCACCACAGAGCCATGTCCAAAGGGCAGCTGTAGCCAAACTGTCGACAGCTTTGGGCGTCTGGACTGTAGCCCTTCTTTAGCAAGGCCCGCAGGCTGTCCGCTTGTCCGCTAAGTACTGCCAAATAAACTGGACTGACCTTTCCCTCGCCCCGGTCACATTCTCGCTTCGTTACCGGAATCAGCTTCTCTAAAATACTACAGAGAACGACAAGAGATGAGCATCCAGATTAATGCGGTTTAACAAAATTGATTTCATAAAGGCCAAAGTTACACTCTTTTAAGAAGGTTAGCTTTCAAATGTGTTTATCATTATACTAAGTAACTGTCGCATGGTCTTCGTAACCATTTGACAGACCCAGTACGTCATTGACCGAACTGCCATACCTAAGACGACTGAACTGGGCCGCAGCATGGATGGGTAGCTGCCAGCAGTCCTCATTGCAGTACAGGTTGGGGTCAGCTCCATGGGCCAGTAAAAGCTCCACACACCGGACGTGGCCCTCCTGAGCGGCAATGAGCAGCGGCGTGGCCAGATCGTTTGCCTGGCAGTTCACAATCGCCCCTGTGGCAAAGACCACCTGTGCTTAGGCAACCAAACTTATACTCGACTGCAGTGTGGCTTCTGCTTTCTTCATTTAATAAGCAATTAGGTCAATGACAAAAAATGCCCACCATAAAGAAAATTAATCTTTTAAAAATATGCCATGTTTTTAGAAATGTCTTTGAAATTTGAATGAAATTGAAATTAAAATGAAATTTTATTATAATAACAATAAAATGGAACATCAAGTAAAAAAATTAAACAAAACTTACACATTTTAATCATTATTTCCAAAAAAATATTTTTCATAATACAAACATTTATAAACATACACTACTAAATGTGGGTTTGGAAGGTTTTTTGTTGTTTTTGAAGGAAGTCTCTTATGCTCAACAAGGCTGCATTTATATCTTTTAAAAATATGCCATGTTTTTAGAAATGTCTTTGAAATTTGAATGAAATTGAAATTAAAATGAAATTTTATTATAATAACTCTAAAAATGGAACATCAAGTAAAAAAATTAAACAAAACTTACACATTTTAATCATTATTTCCAAAAAAATATTTTTCATAATACAAACATTTATAAACATACACTACTAAATGTGGGTTTGGAAGGTTTTTTGTTGTTTTTGAAGGAAGTCTCTTATGCTCAACAAGGCTGCATTTATTTGATCAAAAATACAGTAAAAAGTAAGATTAAACCATTAGTTCAATTTAGAAATATTAAATATTGTAAAATTTTAATTTATATAAATATAAATAAAAATATAAATAATAGCTATAAGTTATAATAATAAGTATAATACCAAGTAGTTGTGAAGCTTAATATTTTTGTGGTAATGGATACATTTTTTAAGGATTCTCTGATTAATAGAAAGTTTGAATGAACAGCATTAATTTGATATATAAATGGCTTTATTGTTATGTTTGATCAATTTAACATTCTTGCTGAACAAAAGTATTTAACTAAAAAAATGTATTATATAATTTTTTTTTTTTTGGAGTCGCACCACATGACATTTTACAATATAAACTAACCTTGCATGTTAATAAAAAAATTCAATTATCTGTTCTTTTCAGAGATTTACTGACCTGGACAAAGAGTCACAAGGGTCTGCAGGGGTCTTTACAATATTATTGTATTCAAGTTTCGGTACGACGAACTGCATTTTTGAATAAATTAATAGATCTGCATGGCATTGACCCTTACATCAAACTCTTCAAAATCTGCCTCTGAAGAATGCGCCACTGTGAATAGCAGTGTGGATACAGTAGCGATAACTCTGATGTTGCAAGACTTAACACTGAACATTGATCAAAGCTTGTAATGTACAAAAAGGGAAGCATATCATGACTGGCTAGATGCAGCACGTACAGGGTTAATCATTAAAGAAATGTCCTCACCGGCATTTGCAACAATCTCTAAGCATTGGTGATGTCCATATTGTGCAGCAACAAATAATGGTGTGATCCCATAGTCATCAACTGCCTCCAGAGAGCACATGCTCACCAGATACCTCACAATCTCTGTATGGCCCTGGAAATGGTTTTACAAATATTTATTTCATCACCTTTTTAATGGAAGACTTTGATAACTGCCTTAGACGTAGGATTTAAAAACTTGATTAAATTAGAACAAGCAAAATGGCCTTGGGCTTTCATTATTTGAAGCTTAATTAAACATTCAGAAGTATAACATTTATTGAAAGAGGTATACATTTAAAAGTAGTTATCATGTGATTGTTGGGATGTGTTTTTTCCTGATGACAACTAGCTGATAAGCATTTACGCTTAAAAGTGAGTAAGAAGAGCTGCAGAACATTTTAAGGCATGTGAATGTAGTATTTGTGCAATTTCTGATGTTTCCAAAACATCAATCTTAAATCAGAGTTGTAGATTAAAGCTATAACCTTGTAAACAGCTTGATGGAGACAACACCAGCCTGACACAGAGTAAGTCCCATTGACTTCTGCCCCATTTTCAACCAGCAGCTCCACCACATCTTTGTGCCCACTATCTACAGCTAGGAACAAAAAATGAGACAAATATATAACAAGACTCAAAAGAGGAAAAATACACATGGTTAACATGACATGAGATTGTGATCCTAGGTACTTTGAGTTTACCTGCAAAGAGGGGACAGGAGAGTTCATTGGTCGTCCTGTTAATGTCCGCACCACCCTTGATAAGCCACTTCACTGCCCGGAGGTGTCCATTCCTCGCGGCAAAATAAAGAGGAGTCTCTGAGTTATGCGTCAAAGTGTTGACGTAGTCTTCGCCATTGACTGAAGTGAACAGGGACATACAACTAATGAATTGCACATTAGAGAAAAAGATACAGTCATGTGCTGTATCTTAAACAGTTTTATAATTACTAAACATACTAATGTCAAAAGAGCTCTGATTATTGGTCTTACGGGTGATCTTTAATAGTTCACCCAAAAATGATATTCTGTCATCATTTACTCATCCTCCTTTCATTAAAAACTGTATTGATTTTATTTACTGATTGTTTCTTCTGTGAAAACAAAATACATTTTGTCATTATTTTAAACACGTCTCTGTAGTTTTTATTAATTTTAATTACAGTTTTAGTTATTGTAGTACTTCAAATGAAATTAAACAAAAAGTAGAAATGCTGCATTGGCAACTAGATGAAATAAAATTATTTTAAGTGTTTAATATTTTATTTCAGTTCATCTTTATTTTATTTCAAGTTACAAAATTGTTTTAAAATAGTTTTGGTTACCGATAATAATAATAATAATAATAATAATAATGAGAAAAAAATCACTTGTTTGTCCCATTTTCATTTGTTACACACAAAACTATCCTATAATATGATAAATGCTAAATGGTGCACAAGTGGTAAAGATAAACGTTCTTGCTCAATTATATCTGTTGTTGAGATTGATGGACCCAGTCCCCATTCATTTATAATTAAATGAGCAATGGAAAAGAGCATCGTGAACGTTTTGCCAAGTATGTCCTTTTGTGCTTTACTTAAATAAAGTCGCACAGGTTTGGAACGACATGAGGTTGCGTAAATGCCAGAATTAGCATTTCTATGTGAACTGTCCGTTCCCTGTCTAAACGGTTCACTCTATCACTCTATGTTACGTTCCAAGCGTTCAAAGCAGCTAAACCCCCATCTGAAGTTGTTACCGGCTGCAGTGAGGAGAAGCCGCACACACTCCGCTGATCCAGCCTCCGCAGCCTCATGCAGGGCGCTCCAGCCCCGGTTATCTTTCACATCCACCGCGAAGCCTCTCTGGATGAGCTTCTGCACCCGTCGACCCTTCCCCTCCCGGGCTGCCAGCGCGACGGCTGAACAGGTGTCTCCATAGCACTCCGTGAAGTCCATCTGATTATTGTCCGTTTAAAAACACAACACTATCCCTCAAACATTACTGAAAGAGTTCGTGTTCTCTCATTTACAAACAGCGACTCGTGACTGAGTGCAAGTTGACAGGTCCAGGTCTTAAATTACACCTAATATACACTGCAGTGCCACAGGTTAAACCTCTATAATGCACAACCAGGTCAAGTTCACACTATAGGTTACACCAATGATAAGCTGGGCAGATAACAGTGCTTTGGTTGCAAAATAAATTAACAGCTGTGTCTGCCACTCTTAGTATACTAGTCTAGTAATCTACTTCGACTTTCCCACTTTGAATCTTTAATATGTCCACAAGACAACAAAAAGAAAAATCATATTGCCTAAAACATCTGTACACATGAAAAAGTGACGACAGAATTCACATTATTCTATTCGTTTTAGGACAAGATACATTTAATGGACATTTCCGGCGATGCTGTTTTCTGATTGGCTGATTCAGAGCTCCGGCTAGAACACATATGTGTAATGTTTCGTTCCGTCCATAAAAAAATAAGAGGAAATAAAAATAACAACAAGAACGCCATCATAAAAACAAGTCCAGTATTTTGTTTGACATATTTTCAGCTGATCCACCCGCTAGACGGAAACCATGTCATCATAAGGAGATATTATTCAATGACTAACAGTATCTAGCTTAGTCATTTTTGTTCAGAATTCTTCATTCAGATCTTTAATTAGATATAATTACATAACGTAAGACAGCAATATATACAACAAACGTGATATAAAGCGTTGATTGTCTATTGAACAAGTAGGGTTCCCACGGTCAGAAAACGTAAAAATATAATTTTAATATTATTCATGAAAATACGTATTATATAAATAAATAAATAAATAAATAAATAACATTTTTAAATGCAATTTTATTTATGCTCAGCCCTACAGATGTAACCTCCTTTACATAAAAAAACGATTAACTGTTATATCCGTAGGTTTCATCAGACTGCCTTCGCTACTAGTTATTACTGCAAATATCCTGCAAATTACTACAGTAATGTATTAATATAATAGTGGATAGTCTGGTTATCATGGTATATTTATTTATTATTTTGTAAGGGTTTATTTTTAAAGCCGGTGACCTGGCTTTTATTTTGAAAAATAATCTCTACTAGTACCCTGTTCATTCACAGTTATTACTGCAAATATGCTGCAAATTACTACAGTAATGTATTAATATAATAGTGGATAGTCTGGTTATCATGGTATATTTATTTATTATTTTGTAAGGGTTTATTTTTAAAGCCGGTGACCTGGCTTTTATTTTGAAAAATAATCTCTACTAGTACCCTGTTCATTCAACTATTGCCGTGCGGCTTTTAACGTTGATATTTAATTTTTTTAGCGAAAGCATATATATAAACACTAACGCGCAGTGTGTATGGCAGCTTGTAAATCAAAAGGCAACGGATATGAGACTTGATGCTAGATATTTTAATCGACTAGATCTGAATCTGCCCTTGGCAAGTAACGTTATGACTTTATTTTGGACTCTTTAGCATACTAATTACTGTGTTGTGTACATAGTCTATGGTCCACACCTATGCCAACGGTGTCAACATACCTAACCAAACTCGTCGGCGGCGCACGAGCCCTAAAAAAACCCGTCCATCGACATATGAGTGAAGTATGTGTTCAGACACACCGTGAGCTGTCAGCAGGAAGCATGTGGGTTTTTGGTTACGGATCTTTGATTTGGAAAGTTGACTTTCCATACGAGGAGAAACGAGTGGGTTTCGTCAAAGGTTTCAGTCGCAGATTCTGGCAGGGAAGTACGGATCATCGCGGGGTGCCTGGAAAGGTATGGACCCAAGAGTTTATGAACAGCAGGTGCCCAGTCATAGTGACCTTTCAGGATGACAGAGCACTTCAGTACGATTAACACTTCTACTTCTTACTGTTTCTATTTCAGCCTGGGCGAGTGGTGACATTAATAAAGGACCCTGAGGCAATGACTGTCAACCTGTTAAATACTGCTCGATTTATAAGATTCAAACCTATACAAAGCCGATATATGGCACATTACATTCCTAGAATGCGGTACACTTTTTTTTGTTCCAATGTTTTTTCATTAATTTTTTAAATAAACTATTATTATCAAACATAATTAACCTAGCATGAAATTAAGCTAGTTTGAAACAAATCAAATGTCTGTATATCCCACCTTAAATGGTGAATACACAGTATTATTTATACGATTACTTTTAATTCACTTTAATATTTGTAATTGTATTAAGTTAAATTTAATTCACTTTAATATTTTTGTTGTACTTTTAAAATGGATTATTTTATTTTGACCTTCTGAGTCAACATCTGGCTGTTTATTTAATGGTTTAAAAAAAGTTTCAGACCCCGTTTTGTACAATAACGGAAAGTGCTATATTTGTGATATATCATTTAATGATAGTATATGAGATTTACATACATATATTTCATTTACATGTTTTAAAGTCTTATGCTACATGCAAATGAGAGTAATCCAAACAAAAGTGAATAATCCAACTAATTTCTTCCCTGTTCGTTCACTCTCTATTTGCTTGTAGGGCTGTGTATGGGGCGTTGCCTATAAGTTGCCATCAGGCAGAGAAAAGGAAGTGAAAGAGTATCTGGACTACAGAGAGAAAGGCGGCTATGGGGTGATCACAGTGACATTTCATCCCAAAGATGAAGAACACCAACCAATGCAGGACACATTGCTCTACATCGGCTCCTGTGACAACCCAAATTACCTTGGCCCAGCACCTTTGGAGACAATTGCTCAGCAGATTGTGAAGTCTGTAGGCCCCAGTGGCAAGAATACAGATTACCTGTTTGAGCTCGCCCAAGCCCTCAGGCAGCTAATACCTGAAGACTTAGACGATCACCTGTTCTCTTTGGAGCGCCTTGTGAAAGAGCTGCAGAAGCAGGAGGAGATGGAGTGATCTGTTATAGTCTGCTTTGTCCTTAATCTTCTAAAAAACTCAGGAATTTAGTCAATTTTTTGTTCCTCATATATAGATGATGATATCCGATGCATGCTAAAAGGGATTACCTGATAAAGCATTACATAAGCAGTACTTAAAGCACTGTTGTGCTTTTAAATAGGATTATTTAATATATGGTAGTCTACTGAATCTGCACTTGGTTTTACGATGTGACATTTCACATCATTTGTCTCACGTTATACCTTGAGATACGAATCAAGAACTTAAAAGGATTTCAGTATATTGCACATAATGTACACGGTTACGTCCATGAAAATGTAAATGAATGGATAATTTATTTTTCAGAGGCTGGTTAATTTTACTCCGGATACTTGAATATGTTGCAAAGCCATTTCCTATTTATTTTTAAAGTTCCTTACCATCCTAATCTTCAAATAAGCCGTAGCAAGGTGAATCTCATTAACATAAACATGTTTAAATCACCAATTTACCCACAAATTAAAACAAAGATGAAATAATTTGAATAAACCAAATTAAACACGTTCTTGAAACCTTAAAGTATTATTTTCCATTGCATAACATTTTAACGACAATTAACTCTTTCATTTCCAACCAAATTCACACTAACATTGTACTTAATAAAATATTATGTTTTACTTTAATGTGGTCATTTAAAAAAAAAAAAAAAAAATCCATCTATCTATCTATCTTTTGTGAGATTCACCCAAGCAAAGTTTTGAGTTTATCTATTTTTATTCATAATTTATCAGTTATTGTTTAAAAAAATATGTCAGAATTGTTACAACTCCATTCTAGCACAAGTCTATTGTATTGACAACATTTTGTGTACAGGATCTTTGTTGAGTTCACCACTGTTACTAGCTAATAATGCTGACTTAATAATGGTGGCATATTTATTGTGAGACCCAGATAATAATATTAATAATAAAAAAAATGCAACATTGTGGGGAAAAAAGAGGCCTTGTGTTTTTATTTGTTAAAAACGATACATTTATTGGCCTTTAGAGTAAAACAAAGCAAACATCTAAAAAAATAGAGAAAAATCACTGCAGTTTTGGCACTAAGCTAAATAATGTTTCTGTTATGTACACTTCCAAATGTAAAACAGAGCTAACCATAGTAGAACCTGAAGCCCTTCCTGGCTCTGTGTGTGATTCAGACGACAAGCTAAAGTGTTTCTGTACTGAGGCTGGAGAAAAGAGTGACGGGGGAAAAAAAAAATCAATCCTGGATTCTGTCACATGCCAGTAAGAAATGGCTCAAAACACGATCAAACTACAAACATGCACACTCAAACAAACATGCACATATATCCCGCCGCCTTCCACAAACTCCCATACTGCCTGGCTGCTCTCGCTAGAAGACGTGTCATTCGTTTATGCATAGATAAATGCATATGTACAGTACATAAATGCATACATACACGTATAAACACACAAACACATAGGACACAAAACAAAACCCTGTTATGATGGCATGTGAGCAGAGAGCTACAGGACAATGACACACATACCACAATAACGTCACAGTACTCAGACTTGCGTCCTCATTTGATGATAAATAACGAGGGCTCAGCCCGAATATATTCTTCATCAAGTTACCGATGCGTCGAACAACCATCGCCAACACAACGAGGTGCCTGTCGCATCAGATTACTGTGGAGGTTTAGCTTGAAAAGATGCTGGCGTGCCAAAAATGTCACTTAACCAAGAATCACATGCTGCTAGGCTGTAAAATGTTTACTGAAAACAAAATGCTAAAAGATGAAAAATCTTAAATCTTAAGTGGTTTCAAATTCTAAACGTAACTGATTCAGTCATTGGACTACCTTCACATGCTCAGATCACTGAGAACCTCTCCAGAGAGCATCATGGGGGCTTTGGAGTTGGATTTATGGGGCGATCCATAGGCATTCTGTCCTTCGTCACACACTTCATGTCAACACACAGGATTATAGAGGAAAAAAATCTATCTGTACAATAATATTACAGACTGCAGGCCGTACATTCCTGCACTGGTAAACCTTAAATATTAAGTATTGTTGAAATGCAAAAATATGGGCTAGATATATACATACAAACAGTACATACAGAGTATATGTCTAGGTCGTTAAATCACTCATCTCGTGTCTCCTTCGTGCCTATACGTGCCTCCTGCCCTCTCATCGTGTGTGTGCTCGTGGTTTAGTGGGCTCCTGGGTCTGGGTTCGAGAGGTTCTGCTGTAGATGCGGAGATCCTGAGCATCTGTGTCCTCCCATCTCACCCTCATGAATGCATAAGATATTTTATTTGAATATAAAATAAAAAAAAAATAAACTAAACTAAAACCTGCAGCAACATTGACACAACCTGAAAAGAAAGAGATACAGGTCACGATCATGCATTTAAGCAGTTTTTATAGACTAAACCGATTTCATTTATGAGTTACAATGGGTGCCGTCAGAATGAGAGTTCAAACAGCAAATAAAAACAGCACAAAAATCAGCTGTTTGCACTCTTTTTCTGACGGCACCCATTCACTGCAAGTAATGTAAAGCTAAACTTCTCGAAATGTGTTTTGATGAAAAAAACTCATCTAGATTTTGGATGGCCTGAGTACATTTTCAGCAAATTTTAAAATTTTGGATGAGCTGTTCCTTTAAACAAGTGTCTTTGTAACGTACCCGTCTATGCATAGTAGCAGGGTGACACGAGAAGGTCTGTGAGCACCACGAGCTGGTCGTCTGTGAACTGCTGCTTGTGCTCCAGCCAGTTGTCGTGATGAGTACGGCGGAAATTAGACAGAGTCTTTTTCACGGTCATCTAAATCAGACGGAGAGAGGCTTGTATTGATTTTTGTTAGATTTAATGGGCCCTCAGAGCGAAGAGCACAAGAGGGAGACAGAAAGCAATTGTGTTTGTTGTGATGTGACCGGTGTACCTCAATAGGCTGCGTGTCGTTGAGGTGTGCGCTGAGGTCCATGAGGAGCTGGGGCATCCAGGTTGGGACATCATACGGGCTGGATAAGATGCAAGCACTGAGTCCCAGCACTCCGGCGTGACGCCGTACCAGATCTGAGGACAGACAAACATGGGTTTAGTACAGCAAAATGATTCTGTTCTTTTTTTTTTCCTCAATAAAAGTATCTGAATATCCCTTTAAATTAAAAAAAATCTTTATTTTTTTTAATAAACAGATTTCGTTTATTTTCGTGTACTTATTTTACATTTTATTTTAATAAAATTGTATTTGTTTTCTAGTAAATAATATAAATAAAAGTATTTAAAACAAGATAAATAGGATTGAGGCGTTTTTTTTTTTTTTTAATAGTATAAAAAAATATATAGTAGAAAATGTTCAATTTTCTACGTTTTTTTATTCACAGGGATATTCAGATACTTTTGAAAAAAATTAGGAATCAGATTCATCTTGTTTTAAGGATATTTAGAAGATTTACTAGAAAACAAAATGATTTCAAAAACAGTGATTTAATTTATTTTTATCTGAATATCCCTATAAATGTAAAGAAATCATTATTTTTAATAAACAGATTTAGTTTATTTTTGTGTACTTATTTTAAATGTTATTTTAATTAAATATAAATAATATAAATAAAAACATTTTAAAAAAGATAAATGTGATTAAGGCATTTTGTCTTTTAAAATTGTATACAAATAAAATGAAAAATTATATTAAAGAAAATGCAAGATTTTTTCTAATCCACAGGGATATTCAGATACTAATGGAAAAAAAAGAAAAGAAAAAAAAAAAGAATCTGATTTATTTTGTTTTAAGGATATTTAGAAGATATACTAGAAAACAAAATTTTCCAAAATAGTGTTTTAATTTATTCTTAAAATAATGTTGTTTTCCAGTAAAATTTCTAAATATCCTTAAAACAAGATAAATTCACAAGAGCAGCCAAAACAAATAAACAAAAAAAAACACTTGTAATTTATCTTGAACATAACTGCATTTGGCCTGAGTTTTGCTTATCAGGTGAATGTATCGTGTCTTAAGGATATTTAAAAATTTTATTCAAAATAGAAAATATGCACATAAATAAAACACTAGAGCTATTTTTATTATTTTATTTACAGGCATTTCATGCCTTTTCATGGCAGAATAATTAGACAGAGGAAATGTGACTTGACTCAGACCAGACTTGAACTTAAATGACTTTGCAGGGCTCTACAGTGCGACCATTTCAGTCGCATTTGCGACTGAAAACTACTGCGTGCGACTATGAAAAAATATTTAGGAGCACCAGTGCGACTGACCAGATCTTCATCATACTTGTGATTGTGATCGCTGAGGGGAGCTTCAAAGGTTTCTACGTGTTTTTGCAGCGTTGAGTAATGTATCACAGACATATCTCATGAATCCTTTCATAAGCAAAGTGTAGACGAGAAGTGCTCCTAAAAAGAAAAATAAGCGTAGAGCCCTGCTTTGGTTCTGAAATTTGGCAGGCATTCAATGTTAGCACTGTGCCATGGCTCTGATACAAACAGCACAGCACTGCATGTGATTTAAGCATGATCATACCGACTGAAGGAATAGTGTCCACCACAGAGCCTCTCTTCCTCTTTTTGGGTAATCTGGTTTTGCATAGAGCCTCAAAGTGAGTCTGCATGGAGGCATCCATTGCCAAGAAGTTACACTGCAGGAAGCCGCTGAGAGTGGTGGCAGCCATCTCTCTCACCTAAGGCACAGGTTTAATGAACAAGGCTGCATAAAAGTGAATAAATGACGATGCCAGTGTGGCCCGAAAGCTACCTCCAGCTGCTCATCCTCCAGTAGCCTGATGACCAGTGCTCTCACGTCCTGAACAGCCTGCTCATTGCTCAGTATGGTGAACAGATTATAGAACACCATTGTCTGGAGGTATGTTAGCACTGAGAATCGTGCATGCCAAGAGCTGCTGCCAGCAATCTGAAAAAATAAGAATCTTATGATTGCACAGCAAATATAGAAATCACTAGGACTGGGTAATAATGGTAAATAAAAAAAATTAAATTGTAAATAAAAGTAAAATCTATACATGTATATATATTGACATGTTAAGCATGTGGGATATTACTGTATGTAATACTAAACATATATTTGGATGAATATTTGCTAGTCCAATAATGCCTGATTTCAGCAGAAGATTAGATTTAAAGGGGTCATATGATGCTGCTAAAAAGAACATTATTTTGTGTATTTGGTGTAATGAAATGTGTTTATGCGGTTTAAAGTAAAAACACCATTTTACTGGATATGCACTTTTTAAATATGTCTAGTAAATGCAATCATTGATGATACTAACATATTACAATATTACAACAATAGACAGTAATATAATTAAATGATAAAATCATGAAATAGTAATGTGCAGCATTTGAAATGCCTATGTAGTATATAATCAGTGTCACTTATTACATATTCATTAGGGTTGGGTATCGAAAACTGGGTTTCATTTTAGAACCGGTTCCAAATTTCCAAGAACCGGGTATTCGTTAAGACGCGTGTGCATTTCGATTCTGCTTAACGATTTCCTGCGTTCGCATTTTAACGTGATTAAAAACTATTTAAGTGCAGGAACGGAAAGAACTTGTGCCCTGTTTGCGTGCAGCGC